GCTCAGCTGTGGGAGTGAAGAAGTTGAAATTATGCAGTGTAGTGGCTTACCATGACTAGAAAAAAGTCAGCACTGAGGAGGACTGTGCTCACTGGTCACTGCATCTACATGTGCATTAAGGCACTTTTTATAATGCACATTAAACTTAGTATTTCCAATGTGAGGTACTAAAGAACTATGCAGTAACTGGCTGACTCAGTGTACAGTAATGAATGTGCACAGCTTTTAAATGATGCTTAATGCACAGTAGCCTATTTTAATGTGTATTATCATAATTGCATGATAATGCAATTAATGTTCAGTTTTTTTACATAACTCTTTAATATGCAGTTAAATTGGCTATTGTGCATTAAAGCTTATGTATAGAAATGCTCACTGTATATCTTATTTAGATGGGCTGCACTAATGTAGCCTTGTGGTAGGTTCCCATCAGCATGCTTGCCCAATGTGGGCTGTGTGTTTTTTATAGTCAAGTTTAGTGTTGGCTGCATTTAATCAGTTTCATAGCTGGTTTCCATTGCTGAGAACATGCTGCTTTTGGCAGCAGTTTAATGATAGACACTGTATTTAGTGAAGTTCCTTGTATGTGATTATATGATATGGGGCTTTTTTCTATGTGCCAATTTGTGGGGGAAAACCTTTGTCTCGTATTTGAGTAAATATGAGGTGGGTGGGTATATATGGAAATTTTGGGGAGATTGTCTGGTGCTAGGTGCACATTGTTCTTCCCTAGGCTTATAGTTCTAAAGCACTTCATGGAAAGCTATTGGTATCTCACTTTTGGCTGGATTGTAAAAGAATGAATTAGAAACTTGGAAATCACTGGATTCTAAGAAGACTTGTCATATGTTCATTGGATATTAATTAAGGTTAAACTAGAAGCACTTGAGTCTTGACACAGGTTTCTAAAGAAACTACTTGACTTCTAAAAGCAATAAAATACAATGTCTGAGGCTTCACAGACTAAAGGTTTGTGATGCTACTGTTGGAGTCTTGGTGGAAATCAGGCGTTTCCTTTCAAAGGATAGTTATTTGGATAAATTACTGAGATACTGGAACTTGGCAGTTACTTGTTCTGTACAACGAACCCAAAGCAAAACTTGACTGCAGTTAAAGCAGCAAGTAGTTGAAATACTGTTAGTAGAGTATAATAGTGCTGAGTTTTTGACCCCCTTAAAACAGTATATTCTTTTTTTTTTTTCCAAGCTTGCGAAGTAAAGTTCATTGTGTTAAAAGGAATTGTATGGAGGTAAAATCATGCGTGACAGGTGGCCTCTCAAATGGCAGGCCTTTTTATGATGATTTGGCTGAAACTGACAGAATGACTTAATTGGTACTTTTACCAACTTATTGAGCAGATACAAAATGCAGAAGACTTTACAAACTGTACTAAAACAGTGGGGTGGGTATTTTTTAATAGAGCTATGCAAAGCTTTGGTTGCTGATTTTTGGTTTGGGGGTGGGGATTTGGTGGCCAAATCTAATCGGGAGACCCATTAATCTCTCCGAATCAATTTGGAGAGCTTTGATGATTTGGCCTTAGACACAGCTTTATATGTTTTGTTTTTGTTTTTGTTTTTTTTTTCTATGTACCTTGAGGTACCAGGCGCAGCTTGCAAACACTGAGAGGGTGGGGCAGATGGAGCATCCCACGGGAGCATGGTGGGGGGTAGTCCCCCGTGTGCTTGGCAGTACTTCTGGTCCACTTCTGGGTCTGCTGCCAAGCACATAGGGGACCCCTGCCCACACTCCCTTGGGACACTCCATCTGCCCCACACTTCAGCACTCGCAAGCCGTGCCTGGTACCTCAAGGTATGTAGAAAAAAAACATATAAAGCTCTGTCTATGGCCGAATTGCTGGGGGTGGGTTGTGGGTTTTTTGTGTTTTGTTTTTTTGTTTTTTCAGAATAAGAATTGAATCTTCAATTCAGCTGAATCTGAATTGGGACAGTGATCCAAATCAGCTAATCGAATCATTTTCCCCCAAATCATCAGGCCAAATCCAAATCAAATACTGCCCGCTTTGCACACCCCTATTTTTTTAACTCCTTCACTTAGATATTGCAGAATTGTTAGCTTCAGATAACTTTCTGTTTTCTGAGACATTGTATATAATTTCTTTGTATGCACTCTTAATAAGCCTTCATGAGCTATTCATTAGGTTTTTTCCAATAATCTCTCTTCAGGCTAAAGAAACCTGCAACAACCCCATCCAAAAAGAACTGGGTGAAAATGCAAAGGAAATGGAACATTACTAAGTCCAAAGAATGTACTTTATTGCTAGAGATCAACTTTTACAGAGTTGTCTATAGTGTGCTTGAAACACTTTGTACCTGTACTTATACCACTTCTCTAAAAGCTTTTCTTTTGTTTTTGTTGTTTTGGTTAAAAAGGTACATTTAAAACTTTTAGTATTGTGGTGAACAAGGGCTTTTAAACCAACTACAAAATTAAATCTTTCACAATGGCTCTTATGAGAAACTTAAGAATACTGTATCAGCAACTGAAATCCTATTGCTCCGATCATAAAAAGCTTGCTAATGTTCAAATGCCTAAGAAATGTACTGTAAAAATCTTATAAAAGATTAAGTAGAGAAGCAAATATTTATACAAAATGCACTGATTTACTTAATAATGTCATCTATAGTTTTTTAAATTGCTGCATACCTAAATGAATGAGATCAGAGAGAAGCCTTGATAGTGTGCACAATCACTATAATGTGGCTCTTTACGTGTGTGTGTATTTTTTAAATGATGCTTTCAGTTAAGTCAGTTCATATACAGTATTACTGTAGCTGTAGTTCTAATTGCTTATTTGATATTTCCTCTAGAGAAATTCTTTGAAATGAAAAAAGGACAGTGTAAAGATGCTCTTGAAATTTACAAACGATTTCTGACTAGAATGACAAGAGTATCTGAATTTCTTAAAGTTGCAGAGGTAAGTAATTTTTAGTCTTAAGTGCTAAACATCTGAAGAGGGGAGGGCATAGGGGTGTGAGGTAACATTTTTCTCCATACCAAACTAATAGTTGCATTAAACTTAATTTTATAAAAAAAATAAACCCTGATTATCTACATCCAAAAAGGAACGTCATATCTTTGCACCTAACATTTTAGAGGCCAAACTCCAGGAGTTGAATTGTAATGGACTGATTTTAAGTACCTGAATTTCTCTATAGTGAGCCTCAAACACCAGTATGATGAATGAGGGGGAAGTAAATCAGGGTTAGAAGGTGATTATCCACCTCCCATTGAAAGCTGGATCATTGTACAGAAAGGAATAAGACCTTTGAAGCTAGGTGGATACAAGGAAGCCTGAACCTGTAGACCAGTGATGAGGATAGTTACTGGTGATGGGGAGATCTGGGTTCCAGTCCTTGATCCAGTAGTGTTAATGCATTTTTTACCTTATTCCACTTGTTTTTAAATAACAATGAATAAGCAGTCTCTAACAGGGCCCAGAACGCAGGACTCTGCTTTCCTTACCCCCTAAGGGTACTAGTTGGGGTACCATAGAAGCATAGAAGTAGGG